TTGAGTGTCAATGAATACTGCAAAACAACCTGTTAGGATAGTCCCTGGTATGAAACTACAGGCAACACAAATGAGATCACCAGTTGAATGCTCAACAGTAGCATTAGTGATCTGATAAGTACCTAGAATATAATAATAATAATAATAATAATAATAATAATAATAATAAATAATAATAATAATAATAATAATAATAATAATAATAATTTTGAATAATAATTATAATTGTATTGTTTACAGGATGAACTTTGTAAAAAAGCAAGTTAGCATGTGAATTAGTCAAAATCTTCCCTAAAAATAAAGTGCCAAAGCTTACAAATAAACATATTGAACCTGTCACTGCCGGTGTCAATAATAAAACTGTTATTATAACAAGTATACCAATAAACTGTGATATATTTAGTTACAACTCACTGAATGTCCTAACAGTTTCGCTTGTGTTTCCGGCTTCATTAGTAAACACAGTCTCTGCAGTGTAGTGTTCTCCTGATGATAAATATGAAGATATGTTGACAGTCACGCTCCAAACTGAGCCACTAACTGCAGCAATGCTAACTTCAGAGCATGAGGAGTTACTAATGTCATATAAATAACAAGAAAGGGATGTCTCCTGATTTTGTCGCTTTCTTTTAATCACTGTTGATAGTCTTGTTGGTCTCTTACCAATACAATCAGTGTTGTTGATCTGAGAGAGAGAGGGAGAAAGAGACAGAGAGAGGGAAAGAGAGAGGGGGAGAGAGAGGGGGAGGGGGAGAGGGAACGAGGGAAAAAGAGGGAAAAACAAGGATTAGATAACGTGAATTTGTTTTCTCTCTTCTCTTTGTCCAAAAGCATCTGTTACTACAGACTCTCACAATAAAAGCTGTTCATTACTATTAATAGTACTATAGTCTATTTTGACATATGATACTGTTTATGAACACTTATAGTTTATGGTCTTACTTTACTATACAGTAGAACATTAATACCATTTGCTGCATAACTAAGATCAGTGTTGTGTGAAAAGGTTGAAGGAACTACAGGAAAAGGAAGAGAGAGAGGGGATAGAAGGGTTTGTAAGGTAACACCACAAAACCACTACTGAAAATTTAATTAGGAAATGAATACAAATTGTATATATGCACTGGATATGGAAGAGTAAAGGGGAATTCATCAATCAGCAGTAATACATTCAATATTATGATTATATATATATTTAATAAGAATGTTGATATTCAATATTATGATAGTACGGGTACATTATACCTTCATGGAGGGTGTATGTGTAATTATTGGGCTCTCCCTCTCCTACTCCATTCCACGCTGACACTTTAATCATGATTTGCTCAGTGCAGTAATCACTCGGTTGTATTGGTAAAACAGGATTATTCCCAACGGTCCACTGCGTCGTGTTTTTATCTACAAATTCTATCGAATAGTTAGATATTGGGACACCAAGTAGAGTAGCTGGGGGAGTAAATGTGAGAAGAAGTGCAGTATTGTTTAGTTCAATGTGTTCAATATTTGTCACTGGATTCAGCCTTCCTGTAGCAATAGATACAAATACCATTTATGAGCAATAACATTATTAGTCAAAATGTGCTTTATATATTCAATGAATTAGCAAATTAATAATAATTTTTATTATTGGCATTTTAGACAGCTATCATAATAATATACTTATTTAGCTTTAAAATATTGTCTATATGAGTGTAGGCTGTTTTCTCAGTTATTATTATTTTGATTACACAGAGATAATGCT